GTACAAGTAGTTATGATACTACTAATAAGACGAATGATCTAAGAAGAAGAAGAAGGATAATAGGAGGAGGAGGAGGAGTCGGAGGAGGCGGAGGAGGAGGAGGAGGACGAGGAAAGGGAGGAGGAGCAGGAGGAGCAGGAGGAGGAGGAGGAGGAGGAGGATGAGGAAAAGGCGGAGGAGGAGGAGGAGGACCAGTGTAAACCCAAGAGTCATCAACGATGTTGGAGTAAACCCTCCCTCCACCCTCCCTCTTTCATAGGCCCCTACAACGGTTCATTTCCAGTGATGGAGCTGCCTCAATGGAAGACACACGTTTGAAGTCCTTGAAGCATGCCAAAACATTGTTCTCGGGATTCCAACGCCACGGATCAACCTGACTCTTGCGTCTTAACGATCTTGAATCGTGCCAGAACGCCATTCCTAGGACTTCAACACAGAGAATCATCGTAACTGTTGCGCCCGCATAGTCCTGAATCCTCCCAAAATACCATTTCTGGTACGTTGATGATGGGAATCCGTGAAACTCTTACACATTTTTAAAATCCGTGGTTGCGGGCTTGTCTTTCCTCTGCAGTAGTTCAGAGTGGCTGCTGTAGCAGCCGCTATGTAAACTGGTTCGGTCAAATGGGACCAACAAAAATGTGCGCGGCGCGAAGGCGAGAGCCACGTTTTGAAAAGGAACCGCTCTCAATCCGTGAAGCTCTTGCAATTTTTTAGAACAAATGTGCGCCGCGCTGGGGCGAGAGCCACATTTTGCAAACGACCCGCCCTCAATCCGTGAAACGCTTGCAATTTTTTGAAAAACGAATGTGCGCCGCGCTCAGGCGAGAGCCTCATTTATGAGAACGATCCGCCCTCCATCTGTGAAGCTGCTGCCAATTTTTAAGCTTCAGAGTCTAAACTGGTGAGGAAGTCTCAGGCGAAACGCCTGGCCTGCACTAAAAACTGGCCTCGGGGTGCGCCATGGAGAAGTTATTTACAAGGAGAAGGAATGAGGAGGAGGATGACGAGGAGGATGAGGAGGATTAGGAGGATGAGGAGGAGGAGGAGGAGGAGGAGGAGGAGGAGGAGGAGGAGAAGGAGGAGGAGGAGGGGGAGGAGCAGGAGGAAAAGGAGAAGGAGGAGGAGGAGGAGGTTCGCTTCGGCTGTCCACGAATGAAGGGCCGATTCCTTTCTGCCAGGTGGGCGCCGAGCCCATTCGTGCTCGGCGTTCGAAACCGCCTTTGCACCGGACTCGCCCTCACCTCCGTGCGGTGCACGAAAGCCGAGGGGAAGGACAATGAAACAGCAAGTGAGGCTCCAGAGGCCCCTCAAAAAATGGTAGACGTTTGCAAGACACACATGGGGCTCCACAGGCCATCAATTAGCCTGGCGAAGGATCCAACCACATGCAGTTGTCTGTGCCGTCGTTGTGAGTATCGACTTCGGTGGATCTCCTTATGCAGCCACGACGCGCGTTAAGGGCGTGCCGAATTGTGGCGGGGTCAACATGCGGACGCTGCCACGGGGCCTTCGAGCATCGCGAGGAAAAATGACATGGATGAAGGGGACCAGCAACATTGTCTTCTGTGGCCTTCGGTGGAGCTCCCTATGGGGCCAGGAAGCTTGTGAGAGGTGTGCCGACATGGAGGGTGGGACCGCATGCGGACGCTGCCACTGGAGCCTTCGGTGGAGCTCCTTATGGCATAGCCCTATAGGGCCACCGAACGTGTGAGGGGGTCGCCGAAATGGAAGTTGGAATCCCATACGGGCGTTGCCACTGGCGTCTTGGGTGGAGCTCCATGTTGGATCATGAAGCGGGTGAATGGTGCACCGAAATCAGGGTGGAACTGCGTGCAGGCGCTGCCATTGAGGCCCTCGGTTGAGCTCCCTATTGGGCAGCGAAGCGTGTGAGGGGTGCACCGACATGGAGGGTGGAACAGCATGCGGGAGCTGCCACTGGGGCCCTCGGTGGAGCTCCGTATGGGGCCACGGGACGTGTGAGGCGTGCACCGAACTGGAAGGTGGAATTGCATGTAGCTCTGCCACTAGGGCCTTCGGCGGGGCTCCATATGGGACAACGAAACGTGTGTGTGGGGTGTGCCGAAACGGGGGTTGGAGCCGCATGCGGGCGCTGCCCCTGGGGCCTTTGGTGGAGTTTCCTATTGGGCCACGAAGCGTGTGAGGGCTGTGCCGCAATGGAGGGTGAAACCGCATGCGGGCGCTGCCACTGGGACCTTCGGTGGAGCTCCCAATGGGGCCACGAAGTTTGTGAGGGGTGCGCCGACATGGAGGGTGGAACCGCATGCGGGCGCTGCCATTGGGGCCTTCGGTGGAGCTTCCTGTGGGGCCGCGAAGCGTGTGAGGGGTGCACCGCAATGTGAGTGGAACTGCGTGCAGGCGCTGCCACTGTGGCCTTCGGTGGAGATGCCAATGGGGCCACGATGCGTGTGAGGGGTGTGCCGAAATGGCGGGTGGAACCGCATGCGGGCGCTGCCACTGGGGCACTCGGTGGAGCTCCCTATGGGGCCACGAGCCGTGTGAGGGATGTGCCGCAATGGAGGGTGGAACCGCAAGCGGGCGCTGCCACTGGGGCCTTCGGCGGAGCTCCCTGTGGGGCAACGAAGCGTGTGAGGGGTGCACCGAAATGGCGGGTGGAACCGCATGCGGGCGCTGCCACTGGGGCCTTCGGTGGAGCTCCCTGTGGGGCCACGAAACGTGTGAGGGGTGTACCGACATGGAGGGTGGAACCGCATGCGGGCGTTGCCACGGGAGCCTTCGGTGGAGCTCACTCTGGGGCCACGAAGCGTGTGAGGGGTGCACTGCACTGTGAGTGGAACTACATGCGGGCGCTGCCGCTGGGGCACTCGGTGGAGCTCCCTATGGGGCCACGAAACGTGTGAGGGTGTACCGAAATTGAGGGTGGAACCGCATGCGGGCGCTGCCACGGGCGCCTTCGGTGGAAGTGCCAATGGGGCCACGAAGCGTGTGAGGGGTGCGCCGACATGGAGTGTGGAACCGCATGCGGGCGCTGCCACTGGGGCACTCGGTGGAGCTGCCTACGGGGTAACGAAGCGTGTGAGGGGTTTGCCGAAACGGTTGGCGCGGACGCATGCGAACTGCGCCACTGGGGCCTTCGGTGGAGGTGCCTATGGGGCCACGAAACGTCCGAGAGGTGTGCCGAAATGGCGGGTGGAACCGCATGCGGGCGCTGCCACTGGGATCTTCGGTGGAACTCCGTATGAGGCCACGAAGCGTGTGAGGGATGTGCCGAAATTGGGGGCGATGATGGTGATGATACGGCAATGATGATGACGGTGATATTGATGGTGGCGGCGATGATGCTGCTGCTGCTGCTGATGATGGCGATGATGATGCTGGTGATAATGGAGGCAAGTGGAGGCAGGAGGAAAGAGGAGAGGAGGAGACGCGGGGCGCTGTCTCTTCAAAACGAGGACCCAACACCACAGCATGGGTGGGAACAACACGAACGATAGACGTTTCGCAAGACACACGCGAGGCTCCAGAGGCCATCAACACCGCAAGCGATAAGCGTTCGCCCTCGGCGCGAATGCGGTGCCAGAGGGACCACCAGCCTGCGACCCCAGGGGGGGGGGGGGGGTGAACCACGGCGGGACTCGGATCCCCCCGAGGAGGGGAGGAGAGGGGCCCAGGCCCGCCACGGCCCAACTCCCTCCCTGGGGGGGGCGCCCCCCGCGCCCGGAAGAAGGGGCCCCACCGCCGCCCGTTCTCGGGGATGGTCACCCGTCCGTGTGTACCCCGCCCACCGGGCGGCGTCGGCCGCCGCGTCGGCCTCCCACCGACGGGGGGTGTCCCCGCTGTCCCTGAGTCCTTGGCTGGGGCCCTGCTGTCCAAGCAGGGGTGGGGCAGGAGGAGGAGAAAGAGGAGGAGGAGGATGCAAACCCAAGACGCATCAAAGATGTTGCACTGAACCCTCCCTCCAAGTTCCCTCTTCATAGATCCCAGCAAAAAGGTAGTCTCATTGCGGAAGTACCTGTTGAAGACAACGTCGGAGGACCGCCAATCGTGCCATCACAGAATTCCTGGGACTTGAACGCCGCGAAGCGACATGACTGTTTGGGCTCTGACAGTCCTAAACCGCGACGGAACATCGCTCATGCGACTTTAACACCGCGAATCGACGTGACTGTTGCGTCCCGACAGTTCTAAACCGTGCCAGGACACCATCTTGGGACTTCAACCTTACGAGTCTTTCAAACTGATTTTGGAGACGAGTGCACGTGGAGCTAAGGCGAGAGCCACATTTTGAAACGAAACCGCCCTCCATCCTTGATGCTGCTGTGAGCTCTTTAAAACTAATGTGCGGGACGCTAATGCAAGAACCACGTTTTGAAAGCCACCCGCTCTCTACCTTTGTAATTGCTACAACCTTTTAAGACGAATGTGCTCGGTGCTAGGACGAGAGCCACATTTTGAAAAGGAACCGCCCTCTATCCTTGAAGCTGTTGCAAACTTTTGGGAAGCGAATGCGCGCGGCGCTACGGTCATAGCCACATTTCGAAAACCACCCGCGCTCCATCCTTGAAGTTGTTGCATTATGTTTAAGGCGAATGTGCGCGGCCCTGAGGCGGGAGCCACATTTCCGAAAGGGAACCGCACTCCATCCTTGAAACGCTTGCAGATTTCAAGCATCAGGATTTTAAATGGTGCGGATGTCTCAGGCGAAACGCCCGGCCAGCGACAGGGAGGCGCTATCTATAAGGAAAAGGAATGGAGGAGGAAGAGGAGGAGGAGGAGGAGGAGGAAGAGGAGGAGGAGGAGGAGAAGGAGGAAGGGACAAGGAAGGGAACAGGAGAAGGGACCATGGAGGAATAAAAGGATTATGCGCAGAAATAGGAGGAGCAGGAGGAGGACGAGGAGACGGAGAGGGAACAATTGCTGAAGCAAATGTCCGAAACAAACGTCGGAGCAGGAGGAGAAGGATTCGCGAGGAGTAGGAGTAGGATGCTGCAGCAAATGTCGATGTCGCCGCCGCTCAGGCATCATCCATACAGACTTGAAGCCTGAGAACGTGCTCGTCTCGTGCCCCAGGGGCGCGCCGCCGCCGCTTAGCCCCCACCTCTCCGCGCGCTCGCGGTGCCGAGATGATGATGGCGACGATGATAGCGGAGGATGAGCAGGAGGACGAGGAGGGGGAGGTGGAGGTAGAGGAGGAGCTGGAGGAGGACAAGGTGGAGGAGGAGGAGGCGTATGATGATAATGCTGCTGCTGCTGCTGATGCTGCTGATGATGATGAGGATGAGGATGAAGATAAGGATGAGGACGACTTTGATGAGGACGATTCTGCTGATGACGATGGTAATGGTGATGAACATGGTGAGGAGGAGGAGGAGGTTGATGATGATGATGATGATGATGATGATGATGATGATGATGATGATGATGATGAGGACGAGGATGAGGGTGCTGATGATGAGGGTTCTGATTAGAGGATGATGATGAGGACTGTGATGATGACGACGATGCTGCTGATTATGATGCTGATTATGATGATGAGGATGATGCTACTGCTGATGATGACGACGATGATGATGATGACGATGCTGCTGATGATGATGCTGATGATGACGAGGATGAGGATTATGGTGATGGTGATGATGGTGATGCTAATTCTGATGATGATTATGATGATGCTGATGATGATGATGAGGAGGAGGAGGAGGAATAATAATAAGAACAACATGTTGAGGAGGAGGAGGAGGAGCTGGAGGATTGAGGAATACGATGAAGGGTGGTGATGGAGTATGAGGAGGATGGAGGAGGACGGAGGAGGAGGATGGAGGAGGATGGGGACGGAGAGAGGACCAGAGTAAACCCAAGAAACATCAGCGATGCTGCAACACACCCTCCCGCATTCCCTTGAAAGACCAGCACCCCATTGGCCTGCCATTCGGGCGAGAACCCCGTTTGGGAGAGGAGCCGACTGCTTCTGTATCGTTTCCAGCGAGTCATAAGGAACGCGCGAAGGTATGATCAGCTCAACGGGACGTCAGATGAGATCCCCGTTTTGAGAAAGACGCTCCCTCATCTGCGTAACTCTTGCACGAGTTGTCGCCTCTGGCCGTGCACGCCGGGAGAGGCTCTTGGCGGAGGCCCCACTCCGAGAAGGAGCCGTCCTCCATCCGTGCAACTGCACCATGTGCTCAAGCTTCATCTCCTCCTCCCCCTCCCTCTCCTCCCCCTCCTCCTCCTCCCTCCTCCTCCTCCTCCTCCTCCTCCTGCTCCTCCTTCTCCTCTTCCTCGGGTCGCCTACGGCCCCGGCGGAAACCGTGCACATGGGACTGCTGTCCGTGCTCGATGTCGGGCTGCTGGTTCGTTCCCCTCCGCGGTGCCAGGAGGGGAGGAGATCGCTCAATGTTTAAGAGTTGAAGCGGGCGCCCATGTTCGAAAAGCAGTCGTCCCTGGTCCGTGCAGCTGTCGCACCTGCTCACGTCCCTGGGGCTCCAAGTGGAAGACGTCTCCCGCGGCATTCCGATGTTGAAGAGGAGCCGCCTGCAACGCCTGAACCTGTCTCAAGTTTTTACGACGACTGTGGGCGGGATTGAGATGAGAGCCACATTTTGAAAAGGAGGCGCCTTCATCATTGAAACAGTTGCTAGCTTCTAGGACGAATGCGCACGGCGCTAAGGCGAGAGTCCCATTTTGCAAAGGATCCGCACTCCATCCCTGAAGCTGTAGCAAACTTTTAGGACGAATGTGCGCGGCGCTGAGGCGAGACCTCTTTTTCCCTACCTAGGCTCTGCCTAGAAGGGTTCTTACTGTGTGTGCTTAAAGGGCTGGGCAGTGTAAATCGCCCCGGGCGGTTCCCCCAGGATCCGCCCCGCGGTTCCCCCAGTGACTTTCCCTTAGCTTAACGTTGCTTATCTCATCTTAGCTTAGCCTATTTCATATTATATTAGCTTAGCTTCATCTTAGCTCAGCTTTCTCTTAGCTTAACTTACCTTCATCTTAGCATCGGTGTATTTTGTGGCGCTCGTGTGTGCCAACCGCGTTGCCAGTTTAGTTTTCTGTTCGGGTAATTAGCATGTGTGTAATTCCCTACCTAGGCTCTGTCTAGAGGGTTCGCTTAGCATAGCGCAGCGCTGCATTAGCATCGCATATCATAACATGACATAGCCAAACATAGCATAGCATAGCATATCATAGCATATATCAGGATAGCATAGCATATCATATCATAGCATAGCATAGCATAACACAGCATATCATATCATAGCGCAGCTTAGTATAGCATAGCATAGCATAGCTTAGCATAGCACAGCGCAGCATGACACATCATAGCTTAACATAGCATAGTATATTATAGCACAGCATAACATAGCATAGCACATCATATTTTAGCATAGCATAGCAGAGCATGGCGCAGCATAGCATGGCATAGCATAGCATAGCATAGCAACTAATGCTGCTTTCCTAGGGGCTCCAACTTCTAGGTAGGGTCGCACTGGGGTAATTTGAAAACGACCCCCCTGAATTCTTGAAGCTATTGCAAACTTTTCAAGCGAATGTGCGCGGTGCCTCGGTGAGAGCCACATTTTGACGCCCCCATCCTCGAAACTGATGCGAGCTTTTGAAACGAGTGTGCGCGGCGCTAATGCGATAGCTACATTTTGACCCCCTCCTGCATCTTTGAACCTGTTGCACGTTCCTAGCTTCCGGATCATAAGCGATGAAGAAGCTTCAGGCGCAACGCCTGATCCGCCCTATCGACACGTTTGGGGGTGCGACAGGGAGGAGTCATTTCTAAGAAAACGGAATGGTGGAGGAGGATGGAGGAGCCCGGTGGAGGAGGAGGAGGAGGAGGAGGAGGAGGAATGAGGAGGAATGTTGAGAACGATGGGGGAGGAGCAGCCGAGGTGTGCCGGTGAACAAGCAGGGCGTCCCCCTCGTCGGGCACGTCGACCCTGGGGTGCGCGCCGCCGAGCGGGGCGGAGTGGGCCAAAGGAACATGCAGGGAAGTCGTCGTCGTCGTCGCCGTCGGCGTCCTCGTTCGTCGTCGGCTGCTCGGTCGTCGTCTTCTGCGTCGTCGTCGTCGTCGTCGTCGTCGTCGTCGTCGTCGTCGTCTGTCGTCCGTCGTCCGTCGTCCGTCGTCCGTTGTCCGCTGTCCGTTGTCCGTCGTCGTTCGTCGTGGTCCGTCGTCGTCCGTCGTCGTCGTTGTCGTCGTCGTCGTCGTAGTCGTCGTCGTCGTCGTCTCCGTTTCGCTGTCGTCGTCGTCGTCATCTTCGTCGTCGTCGTTCGTCGTTGGTCGTCGTGGTCCGTCATCGTCGTCATCGTCGTCGTCGCCGTTTCACAGTCGTCGTCGTCGCCGTCGTCGTCGTCGTCGTCGTCGTCGTCGTCGTCGTCGTCGTCGTCGTCGTCGTCGTCGTCTGGTCGTTCGCCGTCGTCTGCGTCGTTGACGTCGTAGTCGTCGTCGTCGTGACTGGATGCAGTGAACGCCCTTGATGCAGTGAACTCCCTTAAGCCGCCCAGTGGAAATCTGGAAAAGCAGTTGCGATCGGTCCCATCACCGACGGCCGATCATGATCTCAGCTAAGCCCATGTACTCGAGATCGAACGTGGCCACGAACCCGTATACGAGTCCTATGTGATTCGTGTGCGATTCTTATGCGATTCGTATAAGATTCCTATACGCTTCCTGTGTGATTCGTATACGACTCTTATGTGACTCGTTTGAGGAATTTGCCAGATTCCTAAGAGGGTCTCTTCGGGAATCATACGAATTCCCAAGGATCCTACAAGTTCCCCGATTCCTGGGAGGGCCTCCTCGGGAATCCTAGGAAATCCTAGGGATGCTACCAATTCCCAGATTTTTGGGAGGACCTCCTAGGGAATCTTAACAATCCCCAAGGTTCCTACCAATTCCCAGATTTCTGACAGGGCCTCTCAGGGAATCCTAGGAATTCCTAAGGACCTTACCAATTCCCAGATGTCTGGGAGGGCCTCCTAGGCAATCCTCGGAATTCCTAGGGATCCTACCAATTGCCAAAATTCTTGGGAGGGCCTCTTATCCTACCAATTGCCGGATTCCTAAGAGGGCCTCCTGAGGAATCCTAGGAATTCTAAGGGATCCCACCAATTGCCAGATTCCTGAGAGGGCCTCCGAGGCAATCTTAGGAGTTCCTAAGGATGCTACCGATTGCCAGATTCCTGAAAAGGTCTCCTAAGGAATCTTGGGAAGTCCTAGGGATCCTACCAATTCCCAGTTTCCTGACAGGGCTTCTTAGGGGACCTTCGGATTTCCTGGGGATTCTACCAGCTCCTAGATTCCTGGGAGGGCCTCCTAAGGCATCCTAGGAATTCCTAGGCACGCTCGTTTCGTTTCGCCATCATGCGGCACGCACGGGGTCCCGCGCCGGGCGCCCGCCGCGCGTCCCCGGGCGCGCCGTCCCCTACAGCTGCTAGAGCCAGCCGCTCCGAAGGAAGACATGGACGCCGCCAGGCAGTGGCCTCTCACGCCCCATCGTGCCCCCACATCCGGTGCCCCTCACTCTGCCCTCCCCACCCTGCCAGGGCGGACGGCGCAGGACCATGGGGGCGGCGGGGGCATGGGGAGAGGGCAGCGCGGAAGGTTTCCACCACTTCTTGCCGCGCTCGGGGCGTCTGTGCCCCCGCACACGCTGGGGGGGCCCACAGGTAGGGCCAGCCTGAACACGGGAAGAAGGCACCAGCTTTCGCCCCAGCCGAGGCCCCCACGGCAAAAACAGGGGGGAGTTTTCCAACGGCCCAAAAGGCAGCACTGGTGGGCGAGCGCTCGCCGTCCGCTCGCCCCCCCCCCGCCTGGCGAACGGCGAAACGGACGGACAGCCGAGCGGCGCTTGGCCCTGGCGGCCTTCTTCTGCAAGGCGTCCCGAGGTGTCCTCCTCGGAAGCGTCCGCAGCGACGGCATGAATTACGCGCCACCCACCGCTTCCTAGCTGGGTGAGGGCGCGCGGGGAGGGGGCGGTGGAGGAGGCGGCGGCGGAGGCGGAGGCGGGGCCGGCCACGCAGCCTGCACCGCCGCTTCCCCGACGTAGCTGATGTGCGCCGCACGGGCACTCGACGGCAGGCCCTCGCAGGAAAGGACCCGCAGGGCCAACTCTGGAGCGACATCTTGGATGCGCGGGCCGCCGTGTGCAAGCAGATTCTGGTGCACTGACGTGGCCTGGCACGCCACTAGGGCGTGGTCGACGCCCACGCCCACGGCACCACGCGCTCCACAATGGGGGAGCGTGGGCGGCAGCCCTCCCAAGCCGAGCACAGGAAGGGGCCAGCAACCCGTCATGCGCGTGACAGCCCACACCCGGCAATGCTTCCAAAACTTGGGAGACGCTTCCCAACCGAGAAGATTGCAGTCGGGGGGAGACGGGCCCGGGCAGAGCTCGGCAAACGAGCGCCGCAGCTCAGGATGAATTCTCGCAGCCTCCAGCTGCTCCCCGGCGCATGCAGGGTGCTCGTCCAGCCGTAGCGGCGGCGACGGGAGGCGCCCTGCAAGTGCGGTAACAGCGGTGTCCCAAGAGGAGGCGTGCAGGCACTGGGAGGCCTGCCGTGCCCTAGAGGCAGGGTAGTCCAGCGGGAGGACGGCAAGTCTGGCTTGCGACATCAAGGCGCGCTCTAGAGACTTCGTGCCTAATCTAAGCGGCCGCCCGCACTGGGCCACGACCGCGCAGTGTCGCACGGGCGGACCTGCGTGGCAGCCGAGGAGTTTTCGGCCCCACTCAACTTGGAGGCGTTCAGCGCTGTTTCAGTCCCCTCGGCTGGGGCCAGCAGCGGGGAGGCGTGCAGGATATCCGATTCCACGCGCGGTTACCGGGACGGAAAAGCCACCGCACTGAGCTGCCTGCAATATTTCCGCAAAAAGATTCCTACCGCGCGCTAGGATCTCCTGGAGCAGCGGCTGGAAGGTCAGGTCTGAGTCAACTAAGACGCCTAGGAGGCGTTTATCGTGGACAACAGGTGCCCCCGCATAGAGGTTGCTACCAATTTCCGGATTCCTAAGAGGGCCTCTTCGGGAATCCTAGGAATTCCACGGGGTCCCACCAATTGCCAGATTGAGAGAACCTGCAAGGCAATCCTAGAAATTCCCAAGGATCCATTATCCGACCAAGTGCCAGATTCCTGAGAAGGCATCTTAGGGAATCCTAGGACTTCCCAAGTATCCTACCAATTTCCAGACTCCTGGGAGGGCTTCCTAAGGAATCTTAAGAATTCTTAGGGGAGTCCTACAAATCCGGAGGACTTGCATGAATTCCGGGAAATTCCGAACAGTCCTGCCGATCCGAGGTGTCTTGGGTGAGGGGGGCCTGCCTTCGGAGCGTGCGCGCGTACATGTTGGCGGATAGCCATTTCGGCCCGGTCTCAGGAGAGGAAAGGTGCGCGGGGGCGCGCCTCGCGGGCGATCTGCATTGGTAGCGCGGAGCTGGTGCCTTTCACAGGTGTGAAGGATTGCGACGCCGAGGTCGGCGTCAAGTTCGAGGCCTTCGACGGGGCCTTCAGGAGGTGGTAGTGACGTTTCATCCACGGCAGGATGGTGAACAACAGCGAGCCCAACTCTGTTGGAGCGGTTCGTCGCTTTTCAGGTGCTGGTCCAGATGCAAGCAGAGAGTATCGCACTTGGCGAAAATAGGCCAAAGCTTATCTGATTGTTCAGAAGGCACGTGGTGTGCCAGCGGCTGCGGCGGGCCCTCTATTGTTTGCGCTATTGGATGATGTAGCGGCCCGTGCAGTCGAGACGCTCGACGTCGATGACCTCGTGGTTGATGGCGGTGAGGGTCTCATGTTCAACGTGCTGGACGAGAGGTTTCCGGATCTCGCAGCCCACGATCGCCTGGGTGAGGCGCTCGCCGAGATCTTCAGCCTCAAGATCATGCGCGGTGAGACGATGGCCCAGTTTTGTGGTCGTGCGCGGGCGGCCTACTCTCGTGGAGATGCTGAGGGCGTGCCGTTGCCGTCGATGGCTAAGGGATTCCTACTCTTGATGGGTGCGCAGTTGCCGTCTCAAAACATGGCTGTGGTTCTCGCTGCTTCGTCGAAGTCATACATGGAAGCTGAAGTTGCGCAGGCTTCGAGAACTACGTTTCCAAATGGACTGGCTGACTACGGAGGCTCGCATCGGCATGAGAAGCACGTGGGCGTCAACGAGGTGGTGGAGACCAGCCCGGATGATTCGCAGCTGGGCGCTGAGATCGACGCCTTGATCGCTGCCGAGCCCGAGCCCCCGGACGATGTGATTGGCGAAGCCGATGCAGTTCAAGTTTAGTGACATGGAAGGAGCAGGGGGGGAAGATCACGCAATAACAGTTATCGAGAGGAATTGGCCCCAAGTAGCCAGATCTCAAGCTCTTCGCTTGCCGTGCAAAGTGCTTTAACTGTGATGAGGTTGGTCATTTCAGTCGGGATTGTAAGAAGCCGCGTCGTCCACGACAGTTCCCTCCGAAGCAGGTGCCGCCAGTGACGTTCGTAGTAGAAGTACCTGAAGACACAGTTCCAGCTTTGGTGGCCCAGGAGGACTCCGACGACGATATTGATAATTTTTGCGACTACTTCGAGAAGCTCGCGGACGCGACTGACGAGGTGGATGTGCGGATTTCGTCCCACGATGTGGGTCATGGCGTTGTGGGTGGCGGATGCGGCCGCGGACTCATCGGAAAAGAGATTTTATCAGAACACGAGGCCGCAATGACAAAGGCTGGACTGAAGGTGAAGCGTCTGGTGCATCAGCCTATTACTTGTCGATTTGGAAATCAGCGGACACAGCGTTCCATCGAGTATGTGGAGATCGAGTGCAGGGCGGGTGGGAAGGAGCTGAGTTTGAGGTTGTATGTGGTCCCGGGGAAAGCGCCGCTCTTACTCAGCAAACCGATGTTGAAGAGCTTGGGTGCAGTTATCGATGCAGTTCGTGATCGTGTGATTCTGGAGAAGCTGAATGTGACGATCCCGCTG